TGCGCCTGTTCCAAGTCAGGAGCCTCTAGCCTTTGTTAGTCTTGTATCATTTTTAATTTTAGTTTCTTGTGTATAATTTGGAGTTTAGGATGACGTCCATTATCACTGAACTAGTATACATATTTGTTTAGGGGCCAGCTGAAGGACGCCTCCGGGTGCGGGAGTTTCTCGCTGCATTGAAGACCCATTTGTGGCCTTCGGCTGTTGTCTGCTCTATGGTCGGGTTGTTGTCTCTTTGACACATTTCCCATTTCCATTCTCAATTTTAAATATGACAAATATGTGTCATCAAATTAATTATGCACAGATGATTTATCTAAACAGTTCAGCTAATTTACAATATTTTGTCTAAATTCCTCAAAAATATAGCTATGTTATGCATACACTACCATAAAAAGTTATTAGTTTATTCGGTGCGACAAAAGTTTTATAGTATGTGTAGACACTCCTGTATATCGTTGAAGACTGTAGGATTTCTAGATGTTTTTGTCAGTGAAATGTTGTCTCATTGTGATTATCTTACATCCTTTTTCCGGCAGAACTGTCAGTACAACTTCAAGTTGTAATTTGACGTTAATATTTATTTTTGATACTGCAAAACTGTGGTCGTACAATGGCAAAAAGTAGAATAACAAAAATACCGAACTCCAAAGTAAATTCAAAACAGATAGTTCTTTATCAAATGGCAAAATCAAAAGCTCAAACACATCAAACGAATGGAAAACAACTGTCATATTTCTGACTTGGTACAAGTCAGGCAAGATAGTTATGTTTTCTTACCGCTTGTCTATAATAAGAACTTGTTATAAAAATGCATATTTGACGTTTTTTTTTTCCATTTTATTATTTTCTAAGGGCTCTCATATATTTGGTCCTCCGAACTCATGAGATTGAATATTTTGGTCAAGTGTTATTTCGAATGAAGTAATTTTGATAAGTCATATTTGATTTCATTCAGTATCAGTAATTGAAAACTCTTAGTCTCATTTAAACCAATATGATTACATTAACTGTAAATTTTGATTATCAATTCGACTTTCAAAACGTTTAAATACAAAAGGTTTGGTATGTTGTGGGTTGGTTGTAATGCAATAAGATATAATTAATCCTAAAGATAGCATCGTGTACAATAAAAGAGCGTTTATCTATACGACTGAAACGCACGGTAATAATCCTGATGTAATGTAAAATTATCTTAAAAACAGTTTTTCCAATACAGCAGAAGATCATTACTGATACCTATACTTTCTCTCTATTACCTAATTTTAAACCCCAAAAAACAAATAAAGACAAATATAATGAAAAACTTCATTCAAGAGCAAATAACTCCTATGAGGAGGAGGGGTTAGAAATAAGTATATTCTTTCGAAAATAAGGAGATGTGGTATATTTGCCATTGAGGCAACTATCTACCAGATAAATGAAATGGATGTAAGCGATTATAGGTCACCGTACAGCCTTCAACAATGAGAACATTCATACTGTATTGTCTAATTTAAAAGGCCACGCTATGTTGTAGCGTGTTCACTGAGATAGTCTACATAAATCTTTTACTTTTTACATTAACAAACAGTTGTACCGTTTGGTAAAAGCGCTGTTCTAATACTATACCCCGATTATATACAGTATCTTCTAATCAATTTATTTTCTTAATCTGAATTCGAAATCGGCAACTTAGATTGTTGTTACAAAACTATCACTATGAAATTGCTAGTCTTAGATAGATCATTGTTTTGTTTGTTTTTATTGGGCTTTGGATTAGCTGTCATAAATTGAGAGCACTCTTAGATCTATACACTGTGCCTTTTGCATTTTGTTTTTACTTGTTTTTTGTGCTTTGTATTGAGTTGAAACCTTTTCAACAGATTTGTTGTAATATTATTATTAAAGTAAGAAGATGTAGTATGAGTGCCAAAGAGACAACTCTCCATTCAAGTCACAATGTATAAAATGTTCACAACTATAGGTTACAGTACGGTCTTCAACACGAAGCCTTGGTCCACACCGAACAGCAAGCTATAAAGGGCCCCAAAATTACTAGTGTAAAACAATTCAAACAGGTAATTCACCGGTGTAACCTAAACATCACTGTCCAAGGTTAGGAGAAGGTTTGGCGCCAGCAAACATGTTTTACCCCACAATAGTTTTATATTTCTGTCACAAGTCAGGAGACTCTTACTACTATTCGGTAGTATTTTCGATTATTTTTTGTACATGAATCAGTCCATTAGTTTTCTCGTTTGGATTGTTTTACATTTTACATTTTGAGGTCTTTTACTATCTATGATGAGTTTATTTACAAGTTACTATGCAATTTGGGTATTTCTCATTGTTGAAAGCCGTACGGCGACCTATAGTTGTTAACTTCTTTTTTATTTGGTCTTAGGCTAAAAGTTTGTCTCATTGGAAATCATACCACATCTTATTTTTACATGAAATGTTTTATGATATGTATCAACAACTATTATTTTGTTCTAATATCCTTTTTGTAACCGAGACAAAATAATAATTCTACCTGATTTGACTTGACGGCGACATGCATAGATTAAATATATTCCTTAAATTCAAAACTAATAATTATGTTTACAGAAAAATCAACGGACTCTTCACGATTTTAATTTTTTGAATACCGATATATAAAAAGTAAAATACCAAAAATACTCAACTCCGAGGAAAATTCAAAACGGAAATTCCCTTATCAAATGGCAAAAAAACAAAGCTAAAACACATCAAACGAATGGATACAAACTGTCATATTCCTGACTTGATACAGGTCGGACTTTTCTAGCTTTATCAAATTGTCCTCTAAATGTCTTTCAGTTATTTATACCATTGAAATGCAGTTTCCGTGACATTGACATCTCATTTAATGCAAACTCGTACGTTGAGTTATTTATTGCTTTACTTGTCAACGTATATTTGTTCCGGTTAAAGCAGTTCCGCTGGGAACTTTATTATACAATGTGACAAGATATATTTTTTTTGGAAGAAATTTTCTATACCCTTAATATTCCGAAAGGAACATATTTCATTATATGTGTTTCAGTGGTAATAATATAACAATATATTTTTTCCGTTTGAACTTTAGTACGAAGGAACAGAACAATTATTTCATAGCTCAATCACCTAATCATCTAAATAATCTACATCGTAAAGTAGAGAAAAACCTTGTCGATTTTTTGATGTAGAGAAAATCCAGCAGATATTTTATAGTAGATAAAATCCAGTGGTTATTTTTTATATTAGAGGTTATGTATATATATTAAATCAAAAATCATCAAGTAGATATTTCATGGTCGAGACAATCTTGTTAATATTGTACTGTAATGAACATAATTTAGATATTTTGAAGTAGAGAAAATATAGATAGTTAATAGTAGAGACAATTCTGTACATAGTTTTAAGCCGAAAAAGTCCTTTTGATATTTCTAATAAACAAAATCCTGCAGATAGTTTATAGTAGCGACAATATTTAGATAGTTTATAGTAGAGAACATCCTGCAAATATTTTAAAGAAGAGATAATCATGTAGATAATTTATAGTAGAGGGAAATCTGTAGATATTATGAAGAGCATAAAATACTAGATATCTTTATCCTGTGGATACAATTTTTTATGTTTGTACTTTGTAGTAGAGATAATCCTGAACATGTTTCATAGTAGAGATAATCATGTTGATATTTTATAGTAAAGAAAATCCTGTAAATATTTTATAGTAGAGAAAATCAATGAGATAATTCAAAGGTAAGAAATCCTATCGATAGATTTTAACACTGAAAAAATATTAGGCAGTAAGTTCAAAGGGAAAATGTACACATTGCAGATAAAATCGTTTTATTGTCCTCGAATACAATCATAAAACTTTATAAAGTGTACGAATGTATCTTTACAGTTTATCAATCTTATTGATAAAGATGAATACAAACAAATGTATTTCATTACGACGGACTATTTATGAACGTTTGAAAAATATCTAAACCATTACGAAAACCATAACAAACACTTTCAAAGCGCTTTTATGTAAAAAAAATATATTGCAAACGAATACTGAGTAAAGTTTTAATGAAAATGGGAGGGTCAAGCCATGCAAATGCATTGAATAGACCTCCTTTTCCTTTCGATCTCAACCACATAAACGACAGTGGCTTACAGTTATGCTAGGTATGGATAGCAATACTACCAAAGGGGATTTTTCTCAAACTTTTTTTTTGTTTTTGATATGTTCATAGGACTTGAAATATGTCATTTTCTAAACATTGAAGGAAAAAGCTAGGGCGTCCCAGTCAATTGCATAAATCTGCTTGATCTTTCAATCTTCATGAAATAGCCTAAAGTCTATCGAATTTAGCTAACAGTTAGGTTAAGCATCAATAACAATAGGTTTTTTCAATCACTTTTTTATTTTCGATATGATCTGCCATTTTACTATATATATACAAAATCTATGAAATTCAACGAATATCAAAAAAGGAAGGCCACGGTGCATTGGATAAACTTCCTTTATCTTTTATTCTAATTGAAATTTAGCACAGGGAACGGTTTCTGTCTAATTATGTACGGAGGACTCAACGTGTCTGTTTGATAATCACAATATATTGCAAATTTCTACCGGATACCCATTTAATGACATTAAGACCGTTTAAATCTTTCACTTTCTATGTTCGGAGAACTTAAAGTGTCATTTCACAACATAAAATCAACTAAAATTAAAGGAAAAGCTATAAGGACAGGAACATTGGATTCACATTATTCATCTTTCAATACTTTTCTTTGTAAGTGATACCATGCCTGGCATCTAAAGACAATTGATATTAAAATTGAGAATGGAAATGGGGAATGTGTCAAAGAGTGCTCGTTTTACTTTTAATTTTAAACTTATTTTCATACAAAAAAGTATTTAACCAGGCATACTATTTATCTTGATTTAAATTTTTATCGATTACGTACACGAACAATTTACATGTAGAAACGAATGACGTATTTCCTGTTATGTATTTATAGTTTACCTTCCAGGTGGATCATTATCAAAATACGAGAAAATGAAAAGAAAAAAGAAAACAAGGTATTTTAAAAGATGTAAGTACAAACATGTTGCCTTATGCCTAAAGTTCAGATATTGGAAAAAGGTAATACTTTGGGTACAGGGAATCAATTAAAAAGGAAATATCTATCTAGCAAGATGAAAAAAAAATGTTTGTACTAAAGGGAAGGAATTCAAGCAGGATAAACAATAAACAAAATGGTTGACTGTTGTTTGTGTTCAGATAACGCAGTTTGAAACGTAAACATTAAAAACAGTTAGACATATGTTAACTTACAATAACTTTATTCATTATTTAAGAAATTTTAGAAGGTTAACTTACAATAAATTTATTCATTATTTAAGAAATTGAACATAAAATTCCTACTGAAATAATAACTTTAATGTTGCTCAGGTGTCTTTCTCAATCTTGGAATTTTATAAAGCATATTACACTCGGTCTAGATCTTAGATTAAATGAGCAGATTTCGAGAGTAGTATGTAATTTATGTGCATGACTTTTCATGTTCATATAGAAATTTATGTGTTTTATCTCATTGATGGCTGTATTTAACGACAAACAAAGAATGTGTTGTGAATTGACGTACTTTATTATGTAGCAAGAAAACGAGTTCTGTGGCCTCGTTTGTGTCTTTTTCTAACATAAAAGCATATTATTAGAGCTTCTGAAAATTCTATGGTGTGCTTTTTTTTATCACACAAATTTGGCTTTTTCATGCATAATCTATACAAAATCTGACAATTTTACACAACTTATAGCGTGAAAAAATCCAGGTGACCCATACTTTTTATTATCTTTTTGAAAAAAGCATGGTATAGACTTCATTTTGACAAAAAATTTAAAAAATCTATGGATTTTGATACAGAACCCCAATCTACCTTAAACCACCGCTGGCATGGTTTCTGATTTTTTACAAGTGTGGAGTTTGAGTTGTTTTTGACTCTGGTTTAGCTCTAATAATTTATCGTGGAAAATAACAAATATGTCCTTACAATAAGACACAACGCAAGAAATGACATGCCACTCTGTGTTTTTGTAAGATGTATTTCTGTTTGTTACCATTTGAGTTATGCCTTTTTAAACTGATTTTAATAGATTGTTCTTATGTTGTACTGTTACACCACTGTCTCAGATTAGAGAAAATCATGTTTAACCACGCCACATTCGGTATGTTCCTGTCCCAAGTCAGGAGCCTGTTGTTCAGGGGTTCTCATTGGTTCATGTTTTATATTTGTTTTTCGTAAATTGTTTTGTTATAAATTAGACCACTAGTTTTCTCAATTGAATTATTTTATGTTTTTCATGTCGGGGCCTTTTATATCCGACCATACGGTATCGATTTTTTGCATTATTGAAGGCTGTTTGGTAGCGATAATTGCTTACATCCATTTCATTTGAAGTTTAGTAGATAGTTGTTTCATTGGCAATCATGCCACATCTCCTTTTTTTATAATGAAACATATACGTACTTAAAACTCAAAATCATCACATTTAACATCTTAGAACAAATAATCCGCGCGTTATTAGATTACATTGTAAACACATAACACCTCCTACAGCACATGTAATACAAGAGCTGAACAATGCTTCTATATAAAGTTACTGTATCAGTTTTCTACCAAAAGTAATCTTGGAAACTGGAATCTCAATAAAACAATTATTGACTGCATGAGTCTAAAATAAATAGAGAGTATATCATCTGGTCCAACTCAAAACGAGACATTTAGCTCTTTTGAAATCCGATAATAGTCGGTTATGAAAAAATAATTAACTTTCTGCCGATGGGAGCAATGGATCAGGTTGAGATTTGGAAAAGATTAAAGTGCCAATATGGGAATTAGGTGTACATGCTGCTTAGATATTTCACATCTTTCACACACATTTTTAAATATATACAAAAACACATATCAAAGAATCATGTAAAGAATAATTTAAAAGAGAGTGGAAAGATAATACTAAAGGGATAATCACACTGATAAGTCAAAAATAAACTGACAACGCCATGTAAAAAAAACAAAAGTACACAAACACTAAGGACTGAGCAACACGAACCCTACAAAAAACTGGGCTGATAAATAGTGTTGGGAAGATTCTGCTACACATATGACCCCTGTAATGTTGTTCATGTAAGTTTAAATCCTGTGAAAAGTCTACTTCAATAGATCACAATCTTGGAAAAAAGCTCGGGATTGGATTTACGAAAATTGAGACATATCCCTTGACATCTGTGGAACGGATATTCCATAACGATCACCGAACTCATAATTGCGTCATCATTTAAATGAGTAATTCAGTGGTTGTCGTTTGTTTCTGTGTTACATATTTGATTTTCGTTAATTGTTTTGTACATTAATTAGGCCGTTAATTTTCTCTTTTGAATTGTTTCACATTTTTTATTTCGGGGCATTTTTATAGTTGACTATGCGGTATGGGTTTTGCTCATTGTTGAAGGCCGTACGATGACCTATAGCTGTTAATTTCTGTGTCATTTGGTCTCTTGTGGAGAGAAGTTTCATTGGCAATCATACAACATTTTCTTTTTTTATATCAAAGTATTGTAAACAATCTATTCATAACTATGACAATATCAATGCTAATTGTTGTCAACAAGAGCTTCCTAATGACTGCAGAAACCTCCACCAGCAGTGTCATCGATCCAGTGATTATAAATTAACTCATTATAGATACTAGTATACAACAGCTACCATATGTAACTCTAGAATATGAAAACCTAAAAGGTCAAATAAAGAACAAAATTGATGGGCATTGAGCACCAGAAATTCCTCAGGCTTTGCAAAGTACAAATAAGTTAATTCATTCATGGGGCGAAAAGTCCTTAGCATTCCTTAGCATTCTGAAAAATTCAAAGTTATGTAAATATTTCATTTCTAAATCATAATCATAATCAATGAAATTGTATGTAACAATGCTTGAACCAAAGGTGTAACAAAATTAATTCGGGCCCGGCCAGAAAGCACATACCAGAAGGTAGTACATATTTAACACAAAATAGTTCCTACGCATGGGTGTAACTTTTAAAATATGTAGAATATTTAGGTAATTGTGGCATCAAATGAAAGCTGAATGACTGGTGATCATTGTAGAACACTTTTTGACTTAAAATTTTGAATAATAAAAAAAATTGCATGCAATTTTAAAATGAGGATACATTTTGCTTGTTTGTCAGATCTTAAGTACCTATTATGATACATCCGAAGTTCCGGGAACACCGTTCTTATATGCCAATAAAGGTATGCTGCTTTATTCAGTACAAGACACCAGAAAGTGTTGTTTTGACATGTAATGATTGTCACTTAAAGCAAAAGAGCTGTGCCTGCTTGAAACTTGAGGAATTTAACATAGAAAGCAATGAGGCCACGAATTAGTGGTGTACTTCATATTACAGAGAATCATCAGAAATTCAATATTTAGAAGTTTTATCTATTCCAATGAAAATTGGTCATATTTGATGTCAGCTATCATGTTTAATCAACTTTTGTGGATGAAACATTCTGTTTATGCGAAATTACAGCTCTTAAATTGACACAATAAGGTATTTTTGCCTTTTATGGTCATACAACATTCATGCAGTTAAGACCCCAAGTTCTTATTTTTGCATTATTTGGGAATAAAATCAATAAAACATGTATATTATGACTTGTTTATTGTAAAACAAATAGCTCTTGGTGAAATAAATCAATAATTTTTCATAATTTATTGGTTTTTATATGGTAGCCTTTTACAATCTACTCAATTGGTATATACTCATATATACCCGGGCTTGTATTTCCTATCATGATTTCCTTGATAGAGGATTGCTGCTCACAAGGAAGCTATTAAACCAAGAGTTCAAAATGGTGAAGTTGAAATCATCCCTTCGTAAATTTTACGGACGCCATCACGAGTTGGTTGACCGTTATGGAATAACCGTTTCACAGATGATATCGGATATGTTCCTTATGGCGTAACTACAATACCCTTCCCTTTTCACGAATGTGACCTCCCGAACTAGACTATTTACCGGATTTGTAATAACATAAGCAACACGACGGGTGCCACATGTGGAACAGGATCTGCTTACCCTTCCGGAGCACCTGAGATCACCCCCAGTTTTTGGTGGGGTTCGTGTTGCCTAGTCTTTAGTTTTCTATGTTGTGTCATCTGTACTATTATTTGTCTGTTTGTCTTTTTATTTTTGGCCATGGCGTTGTCAGTTTGTTTTCGATCTATGAGTTTGACTGTTCCTCTGGTATCTTTCGTCCCTTTTTCATATAAGAAATCCAAAATCTCACTGTACATATATGCAATTTTGGACCAGTTTTGCAAGTTATCCAGCTGAGGGATATATGAATTGCTCTAATAAACTATATTGCACCACAAAAGTAGGGTTTATACCAAAAATGTCAATTTTCCTATTTGAAGAAAAATAGGGGGACAATTTTCTCAATTATGTCTTTGGTTTGGACTAATGTATTTATCTTAATGAACAACCTCTGATACAAATATGACTATCTAATGGTAAGCACATTGTTTTCCTAGTAGAACTTTACAAATAGAACCATGGTATTGAGAACAAATTAATCATATTGGTCATTGGTAATATCCCTATATGCAGTTTTCTCTGCATAACACATATGTTACTAGCAGTCAAATTTGACCTTAAAATCAGTATAATAGTGTTTGGAAAAAGTAAAATCACAAAAATACTGAACTTTGAGGAAAATTCAAAACGGAGAGTCCCTAATCAAATAGCAAAATGAAAATAAAACACATCAAACATGGGAAACAACTGTCATATTCCTGACTTGGACTAAAGCTTTATATGTTTTTTATTGACTGAAATAGATCTTAGAATGAAATTAAGTAATGCTGAGGTCAATATGGCAACTTTGGTTCTGTTATAGGTGTAGCACCACTAATTCCGGCCCGGCCAGAAAGCACATACCAGAAAGTATAACATATTTAACACAAAATAGTTCCTAGGCATGGGTGTAACTTTCAATATATGTAGAATATTGAGATAGGTTTGGTATCAAATTAAAGCCGAATGACTTGTGATCAATATAGAACACTTTTTGACTTATGATTTTGAATAATAAACACAAATTAAATAAAATTTTAAAAACAGGGTACATTTTGCCTGTTTGTCAGATCTGAAGTACCTATTTTGGTACATCCTAAGTTCTGGAAACCAGTTCTTTATATCTGCCATTAAAGGTATGCTGATTTCTTCAGTACAAGACATCATTGATGAAGAGCTAACCGTTATTATAAATGGTTGGCAGATATTATGCAAATATCAATTATAAAAGTCACAGTATTAAACTATTTTGAAAGTCCAAACTTTGGAAAACTAGAAGCAAGATTTGTTAAGATAAATAAAAGCAGCTGTATCAAAAGCTAATATCATTAATAATAGTTATTAATTATTATAAATAAATTACAATATATGTGAAATAATTTGCAGTGTGTGCAAAAATACATGAATAATAAAAAAAACTGTAAACTGTCGAAATCAGCTGTTCAGTCTGAGCACTAAGTTGAAACTGACTATATTTTCTCAAAACGTTTGAAGGATCAAGTAAATCAATACACCTAAAAATAGAACGTGTGTACATAAATATGAAAGTAAACCAAAATGGCCTTCTAGTTGACAAGTATGAATTTGGATAATTCTGACATTATAAAATGATAAATATGGATTAAGTAGGATGCATTAATAACTTAATACGGTAGTTATATTGTAACTATGGAAAATCATTCTGCATAACAAGCAAATGTACAAAAGTGACAATATGTATTACCTAGTTTAGCGGAAAATATACGCCGAGAAATACGAATGAAAATAAATGAATGAAGGTTATTATTAAAAAAATACTGTCAATTATCGTGGCACAACAATAAAGTGTTGCTTTGACATGTAATGATTGTCACTTTATTTGAACTTAAAACAAAAAAGCTGTGCCTGCTTGAAATTGAGGAAATTAACATAGAAAGCAATGGGGTCAAGAATTAGTGGTGTACTTCCCAAAGTCTTTTATTTTTTGCAGAATTGCATAAAACAGAACATACCATCAGTAATGGAATTGAAGAAAAAGTACAACGTTTGTTAAAAGCATCCTTTTTGAAATAAGAAACGTAAGTATGCATGCAACTTTTTTTTAAATCATTTAAATATGGATAAATAAAAAACACGTTTGAATATTGAAACTAAATGACTCTTCTCTTTGATATTATATGCAAATAAAAAGGCTAGACGGTCCGGTAAGGGCTTATTTCGGCCTAAAATTTGAAGTACATCCGAGGACAGATTTTTGACATTTTCTAAACAAGTATCGATTCAATTAATTTATGTAAAAGACTTGGACTGATTTGGTCAATAAAGACGTCTAAATTTAAGCTTAAATATTTTAAAATCTATCAAATATGCCACAAAACGTAATTTTTTCAAATGGTTTTGTCTAAATGAGAAGTGACCGCATTCGTGTTCAGATTCAAACTTGATATATGTTATGTATCAAATACAAAATATTCTAAAATATTAAAACTGAACACAAGTGTGGCCACATATATTTTGAAACAAACCCCATCTAATAATTAGCACAAATGCTAAAATTGTTAAGATTTCAGTAATTTTGTATGAATTAATCATCCTAGTACCTGGTGCATGTGCAGTGTACTGTAAACTTAGTCTCCGTTGTTAATTTGCATTTTACATGTTGTAATGTACATTTATATCATTTATTAATGTATTTCTCTGTGCTGAATGTTCTTGTGTTTGTTTGTATTGTATTTCTGTCACATAGTGTTGTCATAGCGGTATTTTTAACATTGCCATATAAGCGGGAGATTTCAAACTCTTAATTGAATTGAGATATTAGCACATACATGTAGCATATCGCTACCTATATATATTTAACGGGAAGTTTAACACAAAACTTTATGATAAAAGAGATGATTTTTCATTCCCTATTGTTAATTATACATCCTTAGATTGTGACGTTCCCTTGTCATCATCTTACGGTGTTTATTTATCTCAGCTTGTTCGATTCGCTCGTGTATGTAACAATGTATTTGATTTAATGAAATAAACCTCTGTATTACTGCAAAAAATTATAACACTAGGATTTTCGACATCACAAACTTGTCAAAACATTTACTAAATGTTATCATCGGTACATGGACATCAATCGTTATTCAGAATATATTTAGTTACGAACTATTGTCAGGTCAATAAAGACAACATTTTTTTAAAAATTAATATTGATTCACTCATAGGATCTTTGAATCGGAAATACACACATTTATTCTAAAACCAGTTGTTGGCATGATACGGGTTATGTTCTTCTCGTATGTTTTATGATGGTATGATGTGTTTCCCTCGGTATTAGTTTTTAATCCAGATTTTTTCTCTCAATCGATTTATGACTTTTGAACAGCGGTGTACTACTGTTGGCTTTATGATAATAAACCCTTGACGGGAGGGACTGTGCTTGATTTTTTATATAAGGAGTACTTAATCTTTCAGTCAGTTTGATTGATGCCTGGAGCTGGCATGTCAGTAACTGCTAGTAGTTCTTTGAAAAAGGTTGAGCTAGTTATAAAACCAGGTTTACCCTACCACTTTCTACATAAGACAATCATTGTACACTGTATTCAAGTCATGAATATGACAGTTGATATCCATTCGTTTGATGTGTTTGTTCTTTAGATTTTGCCATTCACTAGGGTTATTCCGTTCGGCTTTTTTGTTATTTTATCATTGTCATTTTGCTTAGTTTCTTCTGTTACGTATTCTGACATCGGACACGGACTTCATTTTAACTGAGTGTTACTGTGCGTATTGCTTTATTCTACATTGGCTACAAAATAGGAGGAGAGTTGAGATTTCACAAAACATGTTTAACCCCACCGCATGTTTGCGCCTGTCCGAAGTCAGAAGCCTCTAGCCTTTGTTAGTCTTGTATACTTTTTCACTTTTAGTTCATTTATATGTTTCGGAGTTAAGTGTGACGTCATTTTCACTAAACTAGTACACATGTTTATGTAGGGACCAGCTGAAGCCCGCCTCCAAGTGCGGGATTTTTTGTATCTGTGTTGAAGACCAATTGGTGGCATTGGGCTGTTTTCTACTCTTCGATCGGGTTGTTGTCTCTTTCGCACATTCCTAATTTCCATTCTCAATTTTACATACAGTCATATATGAGTGCAATCCATGTATCACAACATGCAATAAATCAGCATTTAACGACTGACATGACTTGAAACATACCTTCAACAAAGGCTAAAGATAGCAAGGGAAAATCAAAGATCATAAGTTGAAGAGAAATATTCAAAAACATAGCGGAAAATAACGAAAATACACTACTTTAAAACTTAAGATTGAGCAACACGTATCAAATCAAAACCATTGGTTTATATCAGGACCTCAGGAAGAATAAAAATATTTTTCTTCTCGTGTGGCTCTCGTCGTGTAGCTCATGCTTAGCTCAAATTTGGTGTTAATTCTCACAGTTGAGAGTAAAGTATTGGAGAATGGTTACGACAATTGGAACATATCCGTCAAACCAAAACATTCACAAAGTTTCATGTTGAACAAAAAAAACATAGAAAAGTACTCGTTATGTTTTATCTATAAAATTTATAAATATTTGGCGAATAAGATGAAATGGTATCTACAGTAAAAATATCAATTCTTATTTCAGGGAAATGGAGGCAAACGTTGATATTGAAAAACAGTTCCTAAGACTGATTATGTTTTGCCATAAGATATCCTTACCAGTTGTTAGAACATTTTTTGTAAGTGGTGTTCTTGGATGCCCTGATTATAACAACAACATTAGTACTTTTCTTGAACATCACAAACATGAAATATTTCATCTTGTTGGAGATTATAAGTGTTGTCAATGCACCAATCTGCCTTTATTTCAAACAAGTTCACTTAAATTTCGCCTTGGAAAGGATCAATTCAAGAAATTATATGAAATTGGGCTTTCACAACCCGGTCATTTTATGAAAGGATCCGGAGGACGAGTTATTCAGCAATGTCTGTGCTGTGTTACAGTTAGAAAAGAAACAGATCCAAAGACATATGATATATCCTTGTTGTTCGCCATTTTATATAACTGTGTTCAATTATCCGATAACAGAAGATTATGGTTAGATACAATTAGAAAGGGGAGAAATAGATTATGTCATCTTAATGATATAAACGACCTTTCGGAAAATGAGCTTCAAACATTGTGGGGAAACTTAGAATGTTCTGTTGTTCGGTTAGCTGAAGAGATCCATTCACTTCCATATTATAAAGAATGCATAGAGCAACACGTTGACACCTTCAAATATACAGACTACAACAGAGAGGCTATAGTTCCGATTATAGAATCAATGAGATCTGAAATAAACAATGTAAGTTGTTACAAATAATATTATATCAAAAATTAGAACTTAACAGAATTCACATATTTTTTCACGAGTCTTTGGCGTAATGCCAATTCATGATCTAATCTGCGAAATATATATATATATATAAATATGAAAAAGGTGAAAAATATAATAGAAATAAAAAATAAACACAAAATCATGTTGTAACGTTTATTTTAAAGCGAGAATGAAGAACTTGCCAAAGACAATAACCGATATAATATTTTATTTGGAGATCAGTTTTTTAAGGTGCAATTTTGTGTTTTGAACGGTGATAAATATACATTGTTTTTATATTTGAGTTTATTCTTTTGTAGATTTAGTAAAAAGTAAAATAACGTAAATACCAAACTCCGAGGAAAATTAAAAACGGAAAGTCCCTAATCAAATGACAAAATCTAAAGCTCAAACAAACAAGCTAATGGATAACAACTGTCATTCCTGACTTGGTACAGGCATTAACATATGTGATATGGTCCTCGAAGTTTCTATTGTTGAGACATTAACTCTTTGTAGTAATTTTTAGTGGAGGGTTTATTATTTTTATTATTATCAGTCTTCGTGTTGTCCAAACTTTAGTTTTCTATGTTTTGTTTTGTGTTCTGTTGTGAGCATGTTGGTCTTTTCATTTTTAGTCATGACGTTGTCAGTTTATTTTCGACTTATAATTTTGAATGATGCTTTGATATTGTTTTTTTTTTTTTTTTTAGTAATTTGAAGTTATTAATATTCTCATAATAACGTTAACGGTAACAATGTTACTGCACCAGTAAACTTCATCGTATTTTGATTGTTTTTGTTTGTTTCAAAATTCAACTTTTAGTCAGTTTAAATCACAATTTTTTTCAAGCTGATACATCGGCTACGGGGCATTTGTAACTCATTTATAGAATCCCTTTGTTTTGAACTGTAAGATGGCCTAAACAATAGGATAATCCCTTACTAAGAACAAAATTTCATTCATGCTTCACAATTAAGAAACACCAAATCCTACAATTTCATTGGTCGAGAGCACTTTGCTATATTCCAGGAAAAGGTGTATACTATGAAATTAAGATGGGCAAGCCCCTCGCTCTAAATTTCATAGTATATACCTTTTCATAGACTAACCTAGACTTATATCTTTTTTCATTTAGCTTAAATCAATAAATACATTTGAGTTACAACTCATTTTATTTCACAGCCAATATTTTGGTCCGGCTTTTTAAATTTCATTATGTCAGGGGAATGTTCATATAAAATGCCTTTAAAAGTTTTAAATATATTCAAAACTTATATTAAATTCCTATTTTTTTTTTATCGGAATATTTGAAATAACTATTCTTCCCAACCGCTAGTCCAGTAATCAGAGTTTTGAAAAGCTAAAGATTCAGGTTATTTTTTTATTTTAAAACTTTTTTTTTCTTTTCTTGTATTGTTTTGATATTGTTTAATTTTTCAGTAATTTGAAGGTATTATTGTTTTCATAATAACATTAAAGGTACCAATTTTACTGCACCAGTAGACTTCAACTTATTTTGATTTTTTGTTTGTTTGTTTCACAACTCAACTTTTAGTCAGTTTCAATCACTGTGTGATAAATCCTTTCAATCGGATAAATGTGCTTCGGGACATTTGTAACTCATTTATAGAAACTCTATGTTTTGAACTGTAAATAGACCCAAATAATAGGATAATCCCTAACTAAGAACATGATTTACATTCATTCTTCACAATTAAGAAACACCAAATCCTACAATTTCATTGGTCGAGAGCACTTTGCTATCTTCTAAGATACCTGGGACGATCTTATTTTGTAAAGAATATCTTTTGTTTACTAATTGTACCTCGAACAAGCGTTATTCAATTGTAAATTCATGTCGTTTTGTTTTTGGCATTCGTCTATCGATGAGAAAAAAGGGGGCTCAATAGCTTACGATTTTAATCATAGTTCAACTTTTACCTAATAGGGCATACTATACGTTTTTCGTCTAGCCAACGCTCTATTTTAATAAATTGTCACTCTAAAATTGTTTTCATTTGCTTCAGGACGTTCAACTTTGCATCTTGTCGTGCATACGAATGACATATCTGCCACTTGACATTAAATGAGCAATCAATTAAATTAAACCAGCTTCATTTAGTGAGGTATAATCATTAGTCTTCAGTTGATAATCGTCTCAAACACTTTTTAAAATTTATGTATTTGTTTTTTATTTATATGATTTTTTTAGCGTAAATTTTAGCATTTCTTTCCTCATTTTTCTCTTTGCATTTAAATTCTTTTTACATTAAATAAGGTAGTCCACATCATGAGTTAAATTGTATCCTATCCAAATAAATTAGACGGAGGTGACTAGAACAGAGTTTTTTTTCATGGAGTGGACATGTATTGAAGCGAACAACAACGAGAGTCTCGTCTAGGTGACAAAATTTGCTGTTTCAAGTTTTATTTTATATCTGGTATTGTTGTCATAAAAGCAAAAATTGGATAAAAAATTGATGTTATATAAGGATTAAATTTATTTAAGCCGTTTCATTTTTTTAAAGATATTCTCTTACTAATCGGATTTGTTATTTAATGTTTTTTTCCATCTACAATTGTCCTTACAAAAGCGCCAAAAAGTGTTAAAATCAGTCATTTGACTTATTTGAAGATTTAGCTGACCGTTGTTGTTGTTTAGAGATTACAATCAATTAACTTTTGCGTAGATCGTATTTCTCCTTCAAAGGGTTATTCAAATGTTTCTTTAACGTTTATATAGCGTGAAGCTCTCACTAAACCGACATCGGATATATACGACATTTCTATTTCGACCGGACCAAGCTGCATATGTATACATCCGAACAGCAAACGGAAGTACCCCTTATTCATTTGGTGTAGCAAGCTTAAGGATATACTGTCGGACGGGAGAAGTCGAGAGATGTCAACAATATTTCTATACTCAAGTCAATACTTGAGTTTAAATGAAAGGATATAAAGATATACATTGATCCGACAACAACCCAACGACACAGACAAATCAAAACATTAAGAGTTACCATACAGTCTTTTGAAGTAGAAAGATGCCTATACGGAATAATAAGCTCAAAACCGCCTTATGACTAAAACATACGGACTTAATTACTAATATTTACTGTCAAAGATATCTAACCAAACACATTTGATTTAATAGCATTTACCGGCAAAGATTTCCCAGCAGATTGTTTGGTTGAACAATATCACCTGCCTTGTTTTTAATTTCGATCGATGGTAATTAAAGAAGTGTTGATATAAACCAGTAGAAGAAAAACACTTCACTGTATATTAACGGAAATATAAATGATGATGATGGATGACGTCCAGCGGCAAATTAAATGCATATTCAGGACGGTAACATGTAAATATAATATGAATATCAACCTTGCTTTGTACTAAACCGACACGCTGAGCAGGATGTTTTAAGTGTAAATTCGCAAGCTAACAGTTCGTAGGAAGGAAAGTCACCCTTCCCGGACATATTTCTGACTCCGTTCTCTTACTCTTAAATGCTGCGTGTTAAGCGTTAAGCAATTTTAGAGTCTTTGTTTGACCCAATCGGGATTCAAACCAACGACCTCCCTCTCTCGAGGCAAACACACTCCCATGAGACTAACAAGGAGAGTGGTAGTATAGAATATTATACCAAAAACTCAAGTACAATAAACAATACAGTTTCATGAATTCTCACAGTAACTAAAGTGAGCTGAAAGTACCTAACCTAAATTAAATGCGTTATATGATATTGGTACCTACACGTAAATATCGATGACCGTCTTCACTGTTTATTTCATAGAATAAAGCTCTCTGCAAATTAGAAGAAAACTCTTGCACCAATTATTTGAGGGGCCCAGTTTGGCCCGCAGTTGCAAGGCTAAATTTCTGTCCTCATTCAATATACCCTCATTGGTGTTCCAAGTTTCACGTCCATCCAGTCTGTCGAACTCCTATTGCAAGACCTACCTATTGTTTTTAAAATTTATGTGTTGTCGTCATGGACAAACATGTGCATGAACTATTTGCCACTGGACATAATGCAAACAACAATCTTTAAACTTCATGAATTATTCCATGTTCATAAACACGAAGATAAGATCATGTGTACATATCACAGTAGGTATAGTGTCCTGCTAGGATCGTGGTTTTTCGAGTGAATCGGTCCATTTTTTTCGAGTGTAGATCGGGTTTTTGCGAGTGATAAAACATGCGATAAGGTCAATTACCTGCTATTTCGTAATTATAATAGTTTTTTACACGACTACCCATCTTATTTGGAATACTATACATGTTTTGAGCAACAAAGAAGCACAATATCCTTGTATTTAACCAATAAATTCAGTGTTTAATATTGTCTGGGTTTTTTCGAGAGCAACTGTGAAACCGTCCTGATTTTTAAACAAATGGTCCGTTTTTTTTTTTTAAGATAATCTTAATAAGAAAAAAGGTATTCTCGACTTAAAAAAAAAGATTTTTCTAGTTTATAACTGTAAATAAGTGAAGAACAATATCATATATTCCAAACAAATCACCAAAACATATTACTACGATGATCAAAATTAACCTTTTCAATTTAGTGCATATTTTCGGAAAATGTTCTACCACAACTTTCCAGTGTTAAATTAGAAATTACTTGATCCTTTATAAAACAGTCTCTAAAACATATTACAGGGACTCATAATCTTTTCAAGTTCATTTCATGCTACTTTTGTTTTTACAGTTAATAATATTTTTTTGTGGTGAACCCCGGAGATTTTAAAAAGCAGAAAGAAACTTACTGGAAAGCAGTGAAGAATCAGAAAAATACTACATATAATAAAGAATATCCTACTAAAAGAGGCCTGCCCCCGCAAAAATAAAATCCATGAATAATAATAATAAAACACACACACACACACACACACACAAATACACACTTAATCCGCCCCATTATTATTCCCATTGCCATTAAATTTTAATTAAATTTCATATGTAACTAACAATGAAATGAATAGTTCATCAGCTTAACACTATATGTATGAACGTCTCAAACCAAATAGTCTATGCTTACATTAGATTGTTGACATCACGAATATATACTGTACATGTAATTAATAAGATATGACAAACAACAATATATACAAATGAACGATACTTGCTTTAAAATGTAAGTGTGAGTACACCATTATCAAACTGATGAATGCATTGGTTTCGTGTCTTGAAAAGTACTTAATTTGAACCTTTTGTTTATTGTTTTTGAACGTAAATACACTGACACATAACATTTTAAGGTAGAGGAAATTTGTATAATTACTCGATAAAACACGGACGCTCTCGAAAAAACCCGAACTTCTCTCGAAAAAACCCGGATATGTAAAAATGAATTTAGTCTCAAAATTTTCAATGCAAATACAAGAATTTTTGTAAAGTGTCTGTATATCTAAGTATATATAGATTCCGTGTTTTTTTTAAAGGTTTTTATGCTTCATTTACACGTGAAAAGGGAATGACGAAAGGCTAAAACAAAAGTGTTTGTTTTCATATAATACATTGTATTTCAATTTAAGAATGATGATCAGCCTTGCAAAAATATCTCATCTATACACGTTGTGATCGAACCACAAAAACCAACATCACTTGATGCTAAAGATGTTTAGTTTAGGCTATTAAAACGATTTTATTCTTTAAAATTTACAGGCGTAGTTTTTAATTTAAAAAAAACAAACAAAACAAGATTTATTAATTAATTTGACTGAACAGACAACACTAATTATTTTGCATTTGCACGTAACGCCGTGTAGGAAAATTAAAGAAGCAAAACCAAAATAAACATTTATCTGACCCTATACATCTAGGTCTGTTCGATTAAAAGCTGTGAAACTATCTATTTAAATATCTAATTGTTGGAAGAGTTTACCTACTGTTTTCATATGGTCTGGTCTTTGCGAGTTTACTTCATGATTACTGACAAATTAGAAACATCAAATATATATAACAAGAAGTTTTAGTGCAGACCATTCATTGGTCAGTTGTAAATGAGGTCGGTATAGGGTTTTGTTTTACTCATTTATAAAATAAAAAATCCTTATTTTGAAAAGTTGGATTCAAAAATATAGATTTACCCTTAAATTTTATAAAACTATCCTATGGTGTTATTTTAATGCTTAAACATAAATAGATAAATATTTAAATCATGTACTGCTATTTAATCGGTCCGTTTCCGCAGCAATTAGATAACTGTTATTTGTAGAGATCAGTCTGAGTACTGTTTAACTATCATTTAAGTTGAATATATGTAGACTCGTCCATTTCAAGGGAATTAGACTTCTGCAAGTGGTTTCTTTGTGTACTTTTCTTGTGTTTTTGACGGTTTGTAAGTCAGTAAAAGTTCAATGATTAAGTTGATTTTGATATTAAAAGACCGCCTCACAAAAAGAACTCCTTCGGGCTCGGGGATCTCAACATCCCTTTTTGTTCGAAGGTCTTTTAATATCAATATTAACTTATCATTGAACTTTTACAATTACTTACAGTTGGGATGTCACATCCTCAATTTTTACAGTTATGTTGTTTAAAGGCCTGTTAAATATTCTTATATTTTGCTACTACATTTACACCATTAACCCATGATGGGGAAGGTTTAAGTGCTCACATCTTTCGTTTGTCCCTGTCTTATTTTTTTAAGAGTTTGCAATTTTGTTGTATGTTTTTTTTTATCATTAATAAGCCATCTTGACATTTTGTTTGAAGTCTTTAACATTTTTAGTTGGTACTGTTTGATGACAATATGGTATGAATTTTGCTCATTATTAAAGGCCATACGTTAAATTATAGCGACTCAAATCCAAGTCATTTTGACTATGATGCCTCATCTCCTTATTTATATATATGTGATAACCACTATTTCAAGTTCGACGGTGCGTTGTTGGCAAAAAATACCTGATGAAATGATTTTTTTCTTCTGCTTTTTCAATTGACACTTGCAAGCTCCATCCGTTTACAAGACATCTGCTAACTGCAACGAAAATCAAACAGTTCTTGTCAAATCATTTCCGGATACTTCATGAAGTCATCAAAAACATCGCTGTATCTAGTGACGCATCTGAGAAGAATTCCTTGAGAAATAGAATAATGTTTTTTTAAAGAAAAGACTACACTCCAATAATTTACAAATACTCGTACGGAACTACAGAACAGAAAGTATCAAATGATATCGTCATAAAATTATGAGATTTTTATTAACGATAAATAGAAAGATTTCTCTTGAAATAGAATAATCAGTAGAAAACATGTAAACAATCATCACTTTCTCTTGCAACAATAGAAACGATTCCTCTGTTCTTCTATTTGAACAATGGTGAATTACACTACCGCTCAACCCAATACAAAATCTAAATACTCACAAAGAGTACAGTCAGTACATTTAATCGATATGCGGGTAATACAGACGTTAGTGTCAGCCTTAATTGAACAAAAAAATAATGAGTGTAGCAATAACCATTATCATAGTACTTCAAACTGCAAGCACTCATTGATATGTTTAATGAGTTATCAATGTTTGGTTTGATTTATATAATATATGTACAGTACACGTTTTTGGTTATTGGATATGTTAAGATAGTATCTCATTGGCATATACTCCACACCTCTTTGTATCAATAAACGTGAATTGGTGATATCACATTAAATTGAAAACTTATAAGACTAAAACAAGAGCAAAATCAAATGTACTAAGAGGGAATTGTTATATATCTTTATTAGATTTGAACATATTAAAACTACCTGTGGGTCTTTCAACAACAGCACTTAAATAATAATAAAGCTGCGTCATCTTTCACCATCATGGCCATATCAAGTGAACTAATGTTATGGATAAGCAATTACGACTGCTACAGCTAAAACCATCTATGAACTACACTTTACAACGCATTGGAAAATTGTTTATCTAGTTTTAAAAACACAAAGACACTTAATTCGAAGACAAACGTAGTTAGATTTGACATACTCAGAATCCTTCTAAAATCATCAGACAAATTAAAATATAAAGTAAAATAACAAAAATACCGAACTTCGAAGAAAATTCAAAACGGAAAGCCCATTATCAAATGGCAAAACATTCACCTTAGCACAATAACACAATGACGGGATGTATAAGTACAGATTCACATTAGTTCACTTGATATGGCAATGATGGTGAAATATGACGCAGCTTTATTATTTTAAACCCATAAAACGCCAACTTTTAACGACACACCTCACAGACAGCAGTATACACCAAAACTATGGAGTTTGTGAAACCAATCAGAATATATATCTGACAAATTGACCCGTACCGAAATCAATTCTATTTGTTAGGAAACTCAACTGAAGAAAACCAAACCCTGACAGGTATCACCAACAGCAGAGATTATTCTGCTTTTAATGAATGTTCCCTCTTTTTTAACTAAGATACAATTGGTGTGTGTAACTCTGCTGTTCATGAATTGACTCCTCACTTGAAATACCTATTATTTCATATTTCAATTGAAAAACGCAAATTCATTTCATTTTAAAAAGTATAACAAAACTACCGACATCCAAGGAAAATTCATGAAGGGGAGAGGTCCATAACAACAAAACAACTAACAAACAAAAAACAAACAAATATGACTAACGACATATACAGTCCGGACATGCACATAAAGAATGGGGCGGGTTCAAATATGTTTGTGAGCGCTCAATCCTCCCTGAGCGCACGATATTTATACATCCATAACAAGAACAAAATACTGGTGTTACATGTTGAGTCAATGTTTGCAAGAAATATTTAGACATGCATTACTATTTTAGAATATCAATGAGGTCATACAGAATCAAATGATTTCTCAAGAGGAAATAAAATGTCTGACCATAAATGTCGAACAACTTTCACAAAACTGTAAGAGAGACAACAAAAATATGTTGAATCACGTAGCAGAATCAGCAAAAACTATTGTTGATTTACATCAAGACGCGGTTCATCAAGTGTCAGCACAAGTAGCTAAATGCCATATCGAAGAGATAGAATTCATTAAAGATCAGAATAAAGCTGTCATCGAGTCATCTGAAAAAGGTAAAATCTCATCAATAATACCAAACTTATCTTTTGGCACGCAATATATGTTTCCGTCTACATGATACTCATTAGTTGCAATTTAAGCAAAACATTAAGCAGACTGAATGAAATACGAATATGACAATTATATGATGCAGTATTAGCAGATTTCATAGGCATTTGATCAGTAGTTGTTATTTGTATGTAATAATCAAAAACATACTGAATTCTCTGAAAAGCTTCTGTAAAGCTTCTGAACAGCACTTGAAAGATAATAGAATGATCTGTTGGTATTTCTCTTCGAAACTCAACATATACTCCCGAGACGCTTAAGTTTAAAATAGAAGTGAAGGAAGCTGTATCTGTGGTTTCTTTAATCTCTACTTCATGAAAATGAAAATATATTGATGGAAAGACATGGGAAAAAAGCAATAACGTGTTAACTAATAGAACATTATCATTATACTTGTATGTGAAATCAAATGATCTTGGTTATTCGGTTTTCTTGTTTTTACAAGTGATTAAATGAACTCCGACCCATATAGAATAATAAAAGATCGGACACTCGTCACCAAACAAATAGTTAGGCACAGACGAAATACTTGAAGGACAAAGTGTAAAAAATATAAATGAACAAAATTAGCATTACAACCATGAAACACATAATGTAAGATATCGTTTGTTATTATTTTCGTGCAGTTTGCAATATGCATGTCGTACAAGAGCGATAATGACTAGACTTGTTTTCTTTTAAAAAAAATATTAGTGTTAAACTCATTAAAAAGGTTGGTGTGAAATATCCTTTTGTCACTAATTTCTTACAGTTGGCATCATATTTTTTTCATTTATATCATTTGCTTCAATTATCAATCGTTAAATTTGTAATATTTGGGACCTATTTTGACAGTTATATCCCTGCTGTAAAAGTTTAGAGGTTGGTTTTGAAAAATAGAAATAAGAAGATATGGTATAATTACCAATGAGACAATACTCGTTCAGGAAACAAATAACATAGAAGTTAATTGTCGCCATACGGCCTCAGACAATCACCAAAACCCATATCGCATGGTCAGCTATAAAGACCAAGAAATGACAACTGTAAAACGAGAAAAATTACAAACAGATATATGTACAAAACTATGAACGAAAAACGAACAGGATATTCAGCAACAACTGACAACCACTGACTTGGGACAGGTACATACAGAATGTGACGGGGTCAAACATGTTTAGGGCCGCACAATCCTAAACGAACCTTTTTTTTTTTTATAATTCTTTATTTTTTTTTTCAACTCATACAATAACTATAAGCATTTTTTCTATCAAAGAAGAATACAATACATGTTTATTTATTTTGACCTGTCAGTGTCAGCGCTTCTATTAACATCCCCCTTCACATACAAAAAAAAACTAAAAAAACAACAAAAAAAACTAAACAAACAAACAAACAAACAAACAAAAAATCCAAAAAAAAAAAATTAGCTTATATTCATATATGATTGAATTGATATTAAAAGATTATTATTATTATTGATGCAACATAGTTATTCTATTCGTACATGTATTCATAAAGAAAATTATATATATAGGGACATACATTTGTATTTTGTTGTTATTTTCTTTTCCCGACAATATCTGAAAATCATATAAAAAACAGTATTTTAACTCCTATTATCATAACATAGTAACCCACATTTAATTCTTACATACATATATATAATATCTATAGGATGCAAACTAACCACTGTCCAATTGTGATGTGCATCCAATTGTGTTACACATTTATTTTCAGTTAAGTATGAGTTATCTTTCTTGTATCATAAAATTATTTGTTGAAATGGTTCCTATTTTTTTTTCTTTTTTTTCACCTATTGCAGGAGAAATGTGAAAGGTGGAAGATAGTTTTTCAATAATATAATAATTTTTCAATTTCTTTAGTGCAATCTTAACACAAGGTAACAGTGAGTTCAATCTACAAAAATAAATATAGTACTTCAAGAGAACAGTGAAAAAATTTCCATAGATATCTATAATATCTGATCCCAAGAGGATGTTTTGTTTTGATCATTTGTGCATAAAATTCTGTGCAGAATTTTGTATTGAAAACTGATCAATTTATTACTCAAAGAACACTTGAAGGGATGCATATAGAAAAGATCCCAATGACCTATTTCCATAAGCAAAATTTCTTTCTATTTATTTTGTTATTTTATGGGGTTTTCATGTAGACACAAATAATTTATAAAAATATAGGCATGATTTCTGATTTGTTTTCAAATAGTCTAAATTATCGCAAGTGATGTTGATTTTCTTTTCACAGTTTTTGATGTGGTCCTTCCAACTACTTGGGATCATATGATATATACCATAGAATTAAAGAAAATTTGTATTATTATTGATGCGCAATGATTAGAAACACGGTATTGGCAGTATTTGGCCACAGCTTTATTATAAAATTATAAACACATATAACTAGGTAAACAGTTAAGATATATATATGTATAGTAAATAGATATTTAAATGAACGTAGTCACCTTTCATATTGGCAAACTACGACACGATAACTAGATATTAACTAAATAGATAAATAATTAAGATATATAATTTATATAGTAAATAGATAATTAATTAAACGTAGTCACCTTTCATATTGGCAGACTACAAAAAGATAACTAGATAACTAATTATTTACAATAAATGAAGTATCCAATTAATAGAATCCTGGGAAACAGAGATTTGTTAATTTTTGTGTGGTGGTCCTGGGATACAGAGACCCACAATATCAAATGTTTTGGATGCTAAATGAAATATGACGCCAAATAAGCATATTTAAAGGAAACGCAGCGAAATGTGCCCGTAACTAAATATCACTACGGAATGTTCATATAAACCGGCACATTCAAAAATTGTTCTTCCATGATACATGTACGAACGAAGTCACAGATTACTGTATTTATAAATGTCTAAGAATGAATAGTCTTAAAACACAACACACGTTGAGATGGCATAGCTATACTAGCAAACAACGTACAAGTACACTGTAGATAATAATCTGATGTTCCACATATACTGCTTAGTTGACGGTTCATCCAAACTGTTGTACAAGGATCATCCTGAAAAATATAGTAAAGACACAGCAAAAATATATTCATGATATATTATGCTAGGTAGTATAAGTCATAGTGGTGGGTGGGTGGGTCTTTAAATCACCAAATAATATTTCGTCTGTTTCTTTCAAATGTCGGAATGAAAAAGATCGCGTACGCAGTCATATTGCGCATTGACAAACATACATCTGATAGCCTACATTTAATAGAGGTGAAACAGCTAATCACACAAGTAATCTATGCTTACACTAATTACCGAATTTATGCTGAATCATAAATTCTATCATTATTGATAAACAATGATTAGAAACACGGTATTGGCAGTATTTGGCCACAGCTTTATTATAAAATTATAAACACATATAACTAGGTAAACAGTTAAGATATATATATGTATAATAAATAGATATTTGAATGAACGTAGTCACCTTTCATATTGGCAAACTACGACACGATAACTAGCTAACTAAATAGATAAATAATTAAGATATATATATAGTAAATACATAATTAATTAAACGTAGTCACCTTTCATATTGGCAGACTACAAAAAGATAACTAGATAGATAACTAGATAACTAATTATTTACAATAAATGAATCCTGGGAAACAGAGATTCGTAAATTTTTGTGTGGTGGTCCTGGGATACAGAGACACACAGTATCAAATGTTTTGGATGCTAAATGAAATATGACGCCAAATGACGAATATTTAAAGGAAACGCAGCGAAATGTGCCAAATTGACCAAGACAGTCATAAATGACTGTCAGGTCAACCTCCATTAAAAGCGGATAGAGCTGCGTAGAAGCTGTGAACCAAATACAATATAAAGGACTCATATATTTAAACCCTAACAATAACTGAATTCTAATGAATATCCTGCAATTTCTTAATACACATTGTGGAAAGTATGTGGTGTGTAGACAAGAAAGGCTTCTAGCGCGCCTTGAAATGTGGTAGCAAAATGTATTACCAATATGAGTCAAATGTTCACCATCTTGGCATTTAAATATGGAATTGGGAGATACATCAGAGTATCGTATGTATTGATTGCAATATCCCCCTTGACGAATGATCAAACTAGCCAGCCAGCTGATTATCATCTTTCTGGTTCTAATCATTGTTTCTGTTACTACGGAATAATGTCATGTTTATTTGGCAAACTTAAGACCACAACAATCTGATATTCAGTAAAAGAACAGAAACTATATTCACAGTTTTTTCCCACATCTTATATGTTATACTCCTGTCGTATTGTCAACTCAATCAATTCCGCATATCTGCATATGTGTAAAATGAGAGATATTGAAAACCGAATTCCAGTTTAATCTTGTACAAGATGAATGACACCTGGTTTATTCCGAGCTTGAATAAATTCGTTTTCTACAAAGGTGGAAACCAAACTCTAATGGCTACTGGCGAACCTGCTAATTTTACATAACGGCTAGTATTACTAATGTAATTGCAAGTTCTAAACATAAAATTAGAAAAAATTCAAACAGTTATACCCATTGTTGTATTTGAATATATGAACGAAATGACATAGACTTCCATCTACACATTGCCTGAGGTTAAGAATCAGTTCAACCATTTATGGCAGCTCTGTAGCAGCGCCTTTCCTGAAGAAACGAGAACTATGTATCCCTTGACTTAATCCGAAAATATTCAGTGACTATTTTAGGACTCCTAAACTGATATCTAGAGAAAGGAGTTCTATCAAAACAAGCATTCTGAAAGTAATTAGATATAAGAAGATGTGGTATGAGTGCCAATGAGACAACTCTCCATCCAAGTCAAATTTTAAAAAAGTAAGGTCAAAGTACGGTCTTCGCAATACATAGTCACAACCGGTTAATAATTCATTGTACTGGAACCAGATATTAACTTGATCTATAACTTTATCATGGTGTA